ATTTCTATGTGACTCCACATCCTGATGAGGTCTTGTCCTTCGGGTGCAGCAGTCCTCCTAAAGGCCATACACGGTTCTGCTGGTGTGTCATGCTGTTGTAATGTTTTCTGTCGTGCCTTTGGTGAATGGAAGGGTCGTCACCGGTTCTGGCTCGCTCTTCTCTGGTTTCCTGCGTTGGGTCGTCTTTTCTTCTGTTGTTACTTGTTGCTTTGCTTTAATCGCCCGTGTCGGGCACCCGCAGCTTGTTACATGTTTCATACGTGTTCTCTCTTCATATTTACACTAACTATTCTCTGAAGCTTGATCCTGGAAAAGATGCCGGCAGCTTCCAGCTCTTTCCTTCCCTCCTGTTCCCGTCTGCAGGAAAATCAGTGAGATCTATCATGTTTGCCTTCAAGCTTCTGCCTCAGAAGAAGGTCTGGCTGTAATGGGAGCTCTTTCTCTTCCTGAGACACACACACACACACACACACACACACACACACACACACACACACACACACACACACACACACACACACACACACACACACACACACACACACACACTCATGCACACACACACACACACACACATGCAGAACACTGCATTTGTGTGTGTGTGTGTGTGTGTGTGTATCTGTGTGTGTGTGCATGAGTGTGTGTGTGTGTGTGTGTGTGTGTGCATGAGTGTGTGTGTGTGTGTGTGTGCATGAGTGTGTGTGTGTGTGTGTGTGTGTGTGTGTGTGCATGAGTGTGTGTGTGTGTGTGTGTGTGTGTGTGTGTGTGTGTGTGCATGAGTGTGTGTGTGTGTGCATGAGTGTGTGTGTGTGTGTGTTTATCCTTTGTATCTGTCCTGCAGCATCGTTGTTGTTGTTGTTGTTGTTTGTGTCTGACTGTACGTCAGCTCTGTGTTCCCAGCAGCCAAGTCCTGAAACATTCCCCATGCGTCGGTCCCTTACTCCCACTCTGCTCCCGAGTTCTGGAGGAACCCGTAAGTCCCAGCAGCCTGCAGCAGGCTTCCCGGTCATGTTCCAGGGTGGAACGAGTTCCCTCTCCGGAGATCAGCTGATGCCGTTGATGCAACATTCCAGGTTTTCATGTCTTCCTTTGGGAAGTTCAGTCCTGGGACGTTGTTGGATCTGCAGCAGATTCCTGACTGATTAGTCATCAGCTGTCAGAAGAAAATCATGTTTACCGACTAAGTTCAATACAAAGGTGAGCAGGTTCTGGTTCTGGTTCTGGTTCTGATCATGTCGGTTCCTTCATGAAACAGTTTCCTTTACCAGGACAAAAACCCACTAATAAAAACATGCAGACATTTAATATTTTCTGGTGGTTCTGCTGGGTCTATGCGGTCCTGGTCTAGAACCCAGACCCTTTAAGCGGTCCCAGTCCAGAACCAGGCAGCAGCGGGACCGTAATCAGATGCTGACTGATCTGGAGAGACGTTTCACCCGAACCCAGATCCGGTCCTTTCAGGGTCCTGGTTCTCGGCTTCATGCTGTTGTTGAATTTAAGGATCCAAATCGGTGGTTCTGAACCTGCCAGGCCATAGGTCAGTGGGTCTCGGGTTCTGGTTCCTCAGAGAAGAGGACCTTTATCTGGTTCAGTTTGGCCCAGATGGACCTCGCTTCACCCCGCTTTAGTAATACATCAGAACCAAGAGAAGAAAGAATTTGATTTCTTTATCTTCATCGTCAGCTTGTTGGCAGAACCAGAACAAGTCCTCTGGTTTCACTCGAAGCTCGGGCTGCTGCTCCTTCCTGGTTCCTCCTGATTCCATGTTCTCCATCCTGCTCCTTCCTGGTTCCCCCTGGTTCCTCCTGGATTTCTGATTCCTTCTCTTTAACACAGAAGGAGCGGGTCTCCTCTCCTACCCGATCCGACCTTTGATAGGAGGATAAAAGCGAGTGTTTCCAGTAATTCTGTGAACATCAGAAGATCCACCTGAGATGGAAGTCAGGGATGGATGGTATGAAAGCTGAGTGTTGCTCTACAGCGCCACCTGCTGACTGGCTGGATTTAATCTGAACCAGCTGATGAGAAGCAGAAACAAGCGAGGACTTCGATGCCGTGGCTTCACTGATTCTCCATGAAAGACGTTTGAATTGGACCTGATGTGGTGGTTTGAGGTTGCTCCTCACGCATGAGGACTATGTTTCTCGTTCTGTGACCCCTCCTTCACCTGCTCGTCTGTTCCATTCCTCCCAGCAGACCCATTAGGCTGTTTAAACAGGCGTGATTAGGGGATTTACGTATTCAAAGTGTGATCACAGCGCCGGCTTTGGCCTCTGAGTCTCTGACTGACTGATCCCGCTGTGAATTCATGTTTTTGCTCTTCATCTTCTTGTTTCTCTCCTTTCTTTTCTTGCTCTCCCATGGCAGCTCCTTTATTTCACGTCTCCCTTTCATGTTGGCGGTTTCTCCTCTTCAGCCTCCTCCTCTGATTATTTTCTCTGTCTCTCTCTCTCCTGCCTCCTTCCTCTCTAATCTTCTCCAAATGCCTCCGTGTTATCAGCTCACCACAGAGCCGAGCTGTGGCTCCCCGCTGGTGTTAACCCAAAAGTTGAGTGTTTAAAGGATCCTCCTGGTTCCTGGGCTGCTGCAGCTTCCTTTCAAGTGAGAAGAAGGAGCTCTCCTCGCCGCCTCCTGTTGGAAGGCCTGATAGCATCTCTGACCTTGTCCAGTTAGAAAAGTTCAGTGAGAGGACTGACGGGTTTATTGTGACACTCGAACTTCTCTGGTGGATGATCCTCTCTGAGCCGTCTTGTTGGAACATGAGTCAGTGAGATTTCAGTTTCTGACTCACCTCCTTTCTCCTCAGCGTGAGTCACTCTGTGGAGGTTTTTGTTGCCGTCTCACAGGGACGACCGTGTGTCCCAACAGCTAACACTGAAGAATATTTGTCACCTCACAGCAGGTCTCCACTAAGACTCAAACTGTCCCAGAAACCCGCCTCTCCAACAGAACAATGAGCTGTTTCTAAGCTGCACAAGTTGATCCAGAACTTAAAGATCTGGACGGTCATGGAGTGAAACGGTCTGTGTTCTTTGTCTGGGAGTCGCACCTCTGAGTGTGTTAATCAGGCTGCAGCTAGCTGTGTTTGTGTGGGAGGGAGGAGGTGCAACTCAGCCAAGAAATGAGCCACAGCCTGGCTGGGAGGAGGTGCAGCGTGGCTGAGTCTTCGGCTACGTTCACACCATGACTGAAACACGACAGACTCTCCAGTGTGAAGGCTCCACGGCCCCAAAGCGAGCCGCATGAGCAGAAGACAGCCAGTCACGCTCAGTGGAGTCGGAGTTGTGACGGGTGTTTATGTATCTGGCTTTTATCCAAACGTACAGTTGTTAACCTGTAGGGCTCGTTGTGACGTGGAAGCCTTCACTGACAGTCCATCCTCCTGATCAGGATCACGGCTGCCAAGTCTCCCGTCTAGAGCTGGAAACTGTCTAAAACTCGCTTACTCCTTATTCCCACCTTCTGCCTAATTTGTCATTCACCCAAAATATTCCAATAATAACTTTGTTCACAGAGACGACCCCCCCCCCCCCCCCCCCACGCTTGGCCCGGGTTAGGGTTAGGGTTAGGCACCTCCTGCTCCCCTCCTCAGGCTCTCCTGTATAACCAAACAGGATGTCCAGACAGTCCTCTGAATCCTTCTGTCGGCGCTTCTCCTCTGGAACATCAGCACGGACCACTGAAAACATCGGTTCTGTGCTGTTCAGACTGTCATAAAAACCAGATTTGGGTCACATTTGAGGGTAGAAAAAATCACAAGTGATGCGCTTTTGCCTGCAGTGTGATGAACCTGGCCTTGGATCAGCAGTATTTCCTAATGAGCTCCACCATATGTCGTTACAGATGTGGACATTAGTTTACGGATTAAGACGAATGTGCCGATGATCACCAACAGCATTCCTGCTGGGTTCTGGTTGGTTCTGCTGGGTTTATTAACACTCATGGAGAAATAAAACCACCGAGTCTTAATTTTACAGAATTCAATAAACTGAAATGTGATTTATCAGATTTATTCCTGCATTGAAGCTTCAAACTAGAGCAATAGTTTCATGTTTAAATATTGATCTGAGGAACAGGCAAACACACCCGAGTAATTCCAACGATTTACTAGGAGATGAAAATTAGAAGATCTGCTAGTGGCAATGGTTTGTATGACCCCACCCCCACCCTGACTCACTAGTCACTAGTCAGTGTGACTCGTTGAAACGACGCAAACACGTCACACGGTTGAACTCACCACATTTACGTCAGTGTGTGTTCCTGTTTTCATCTCTTCAGTCAGACCTAAACAGAAAATGACTGAACACCTTCAGCTGTGTTGTTCTGAATTCTTTTACTTAGATTTTTGTTCTTTCAATTTAATATCATGCTTATGTTACTGCATCTGTCAGGCACGTGTATTTAAATCAATTGGCACAGAGGATAAATCAGTCAGCTGTCCGATTAGATAAGCTGCTCTACTTCAGAGCCGCTCTGGACATGTTTACATAGTCAGTTAAAGCTGTGTTATTTAGCTCACCTCCACCAGATAAAGAGGAGCTGAGTTAGATGGGCGATCTTTGTTGTTCTGACAAGAAAAACAACAAGTTAAGCTGCTTTGGTTCAGTTTAGTTCAGCAGCTTTTAGCAATTTATGAACATTTAATTCTCATTAAGTCTCTGTCCGTGGCCCTGAAACATTCTTTTCAGTTTCTCTGTCCGTGGTTCTGAAACAGAATCTGGTTCAGTTTCTCTGTCCGTGGTTCTGAAACATTGGCAGCTCATTCTGTTTCTCTGTCTGTGGTTCTGAAACATCTTTATCTGGATCTGGTTCTCTGTCCGTGGTTCTGAAACATTATCTGGTTCTGTTTTTCTGTCCGTGGTTCTGAAACATCTTTATCAGGTTCTGGTTCTCTGTCCGTGCTTCAGACGGCTTTTCTTGTAGCAACATTATAGAACAAACAGCTTATTTGATCCCTCCCACTGAGTCCTAACCTTTGACCTCTGTTTGTTTTCGTGCAGTGGTTCTGCTGAATTCTAAAGAGACTCAGGCAGAGCTGGGCTGGACCTCGTATCCCCCGAATGGCGTAAGTGTTGCTTCTTTGTTCTTTTAGCTCCTCTCTACAGCTGGACTCTCGTCTTCAGAGCTCATCATTACATTAATCGATGCCGTTAATCCGGGCTGAGATACCGCAGGTCCAGACCCGCCACACTGACATGCTGCCTTAGATAAATGGGCCCTTTGTGTCGATCGATATCGTTTGTGATAAGTTATAGTTCTGAGACGAATGGTCTTTTTAAAAGAATGGCCCAGCGCCATAACAGTTTGTCACACACCTCCCCCTGACACACACACACACACACGCACACACACACACACACACACACACACACACACGCACGCGCACGCACGCACACACACACACACACGCACACGCACACGCACGCACGCACGCACACACACGCACACGCACACGCACACGCACACGCACACGCACACACACACGCACACACGCACACACGCACACGCACACACACACACACACACGCGCACACGCACACGCACACACACGCACACGCACACGCGCACGCACACACACACACACACCTGTATTGGAGGAGCATGTGTGGAACTGGTGCTGGTGTGGTTTTCTGCATCACTGTCAGCTGTAGCCGTTTCTGGGCCACATGCTCAGATAAAGCGGAGACGGATGTTCTGATCCACCTTCCAGCCTCAGAGGAAACGCATCACGTCCTCTTTGACCGGAGTTTATCACCTCATCATCACCGATAATCACTTTCACCGCCTGCTGTTTCTGTTTGGATGAAGGATGAGTTTGTTTCTCAGTAATTCAGATCCCCCGTCTGTTGGAACAGTTTTATTCTTGTTTTCACTTCATTCTGGAACTAAAATAAATCAAGAGGAGGAAAATCTGCCTTCATGGGAACTTACGGAGTTTGTATTCAAATAACTGAAACTGAAACAGAATAATGTTTGAGATAAGCAGGACTTCATGAACATGGAAAAACTTCCTTTTGAACAAATAATTCTAATAAAAATAAAATTAGTTCTAATTTCTTATGACTAGTAATTAGAGATAAGGAAAGAAGTTGGAGAGGAAACATTTGGATTACAGAAGAAAGTCGGGTTAAATCCAACATTAATACTTAATAAACAACGAACAGCTGAGTCTTCCTCTTTGTCTCTCTGATCCTCTCACAGATCAGGTACATTCAGACATGATTATTTATGCAGAATGATGGCTTTTTTAATAACAGTGACATTTTCACGGTTCCTGTTTGTCCAACCACAACAGATGGAGGACATGAGATTCTGGCAGTAACAGGCTCTTTGAGCTGTTGAATGAACATTTGGATATTTACAGGAACAGAAGCTCCGAAGCAGCACAACCATGTTACACGCGTGTTCACTTCCGTAGGAAGTTTCTGGAGTCCTGAGTGTCCCCTGCCTACATCTCCATGACATATGCTTGGACTGAAGCCAGCTTCTTGCTTTTAAATAAGATAAAATGTTTTAATCAGAAAAATTAGAATTCTTGGTAATTTGTTTCCTGTGAAACCAAAAATGTATTTTTAATATAATCTGATATTCTTGTTTTGATTGAAAATGTAATATTTATTAGATATTTAAAACATAAAACAACACTAAAACAGATGATGATGGTGGTGATGATAGTGATGGTGGTGGTGATGATGGTGATGATGATAATAGTGACGATGGTGATTGTGATGATGATGATGATGGTGATAATGATGGTGGTGATGGTGATGATGATAGTGATGATGGTGGTGGTGATGATAGTGGTGATGATGATAGTGATGATGGTGGTGGTGGTGGTGATGGTGGTGGTGGTGATGATGGTAGTGATGATGGTGGTGGTGGTGATAGTGGTGACGATGATAGTGGTGATGATAGTGATGGTGGTGGTGATGGTGGTGATGATGATAATAGTGACGATGGTGATTGTGATGATGATGATGATGGTGATAATGATGGTGGTGATGGTGATGATGATAGTGATGATGGTGGTGGTGGTGGTGATGGTGGTGGTGGTGATGATGTGATGATGATAATAGTGACGATGGGGATAGTGATGATGATGATGATGATGATGATGGTGATAATGATGGTGGTGATGGTGATGATGATAGTGATGATGGTGGTGGTGGTGGTGGTAATGGTGGTGGTGATGTTGGTGATGATGATAATAGTGACGACGATGATGATGATGGTGGTGATGATGTGATGATGATAATAGTGACGATGGGGATAGTGATGATGATGATGATGATGATGGTGGTGGTGATAATGATGGTGGTTATGGTGATGATGATAGTGATGATGGTGGTGGTGGTGGTGGTGATGGTGGTGATGATGATAATAGTGACGATGATGATGATGACGGTGGTGATGATGGTGATGATAATAGTGATGATGATGATGATGATGGTGATGATGGTGGTGGTGGTGGTGATGATGGTGGTGATGACGGTGATGATGATAATAGTGATGACGATGATGATGATGGTGGTGATGATGGTGATCATAGTGATGATGGTGATGATAATAGTGATGATGATGATGATGGTGATGATGGTGATGATGATAATGATGGTGGTGATGGTGATGATCATAGTGATGATGGTGGTGATGGTGGTGATGATGGTGATGATGATAATAATGATGATGATGATAGTGATGGTAATGATAGTGGTGGTGATGGTGATGATGAAGGTGATGATGATGATTATCATGATGATGATGATGGTGATGATGGTAATGGTGATGATGGCGGTGATGATGATGATAATAGTGATGATGATGATAGTGATGGTGGTGACGGTGATGATGATAATAGTGATGATGATGATGATGATGATAGTGATGGTGATGGTGGTGATGGTGATGATGATAATAATGTTGATGATGATAGTCATCATGATGATGGTGATGATGGTGGTGGTGATGGTGATGGTGATGATGGCAGTGATGATGGTGATGATAGTAGTGGTGATGGCAATGATGGTGATGGTGATGATGGCAGTGATGATGGTGATGATGATGGTGGTGATGGCAATGATGGTGATGATGGTGGTGATGATGGTGATGATGACAATAGTGACAATGATGAAAGTCATGATGATGATGGTGCTGATGGTGGTGGTGATGGCAATGATGGTGATGATGATGTTGATGATGGCAGTGATGATGGTGGTGGTGATGGCAATGATGGTGATGGTGGTGATGATGGTGATGATGATAATAATGATGATGATGATAGTGATGGTGATAATGGTGGTGGTGATGATGATGATGGTGATGATGAAGGTGATGATGATGATGATAATAGTGACGGTGATGATGGTGATGATGATGATAATAGTGATGATGATGATGATAGTGATGGTAATGATAGTGGTGGTGATGGTGATGATGAAGGTGATGATGATGATGATGATGTTGATGATGGTGGTGGTGATGGCAATGATGGTGATGGTGATGATGGTGGTGATGATGATGATGAAGGTGATGATGATGATGATGATGATGGTGATGATGGTGGTGGTGATGGCAATGATGGTGATGTGATGATGGCGGTGATGATGATGATGATGGTGATGATGGTGGTGGTGATGGCAATGATGGTGATGGTGATGGTGATGATGGTGATGATGATAATAATGATGATGATGATAGTGATGGTGATGATGGTGGTGGTGATGGTGATGATGAAGGTTATGATGATGATGATAATAGTGACAGTGATGATGGTGGTGGTGACGGTGATGATGGTGATGATGATGATAATAGTGATGATGATGATAGTAATTGTAATGATAGTGGTGGTGATGGTGATGATGAAGGTGATGGCAATGATGGTGATGGTGATGATGGCGGTGAGGATGATGATGATGATGGTGATGATGATGGTGGTGGTGATGGCAATGATGGTGATGGTGATGATGGTGGTGTTGATGATGATGATGGTGATGATGAAGGTGATGATGATGATGATAATAGTGACAGTGATGATGGTGGTGGTGACGGTGATGATGATGATAATAGTGATGATGATGATAGTGACGATGGTGATGATGGCGATGATGATGATGATGATAATAGTGATGATGATGATGATGATAATAGTGATGATGATGATGATAGTAATGGTAATAATAGTGGTGGTGATGGTGATGATGAAGGTGATGATGATGATGATGATGATGATGATGATGATGATGATGATGATGATGATGGTGATGATGGTGGTGGTGATGGCAATGATGGTGATGGTGATGATGGCGGTGATGATGATGATGATAATAGTGATGATGATGATAGTGATGGTGATGGTGGTGATGGTGATGATGATAATAATGTTGATGATGATAGTCATCATAATGATGGTGATGATGGTGGTGGTGGTGGTGATGGTGATGATGGCAGTGATGATGGTGATGATGGTTGTGGTGATGGCAATGATGGTGATGATGGCAGTGATGATGGTGATGATGGTGATGATGGTGGTGGTGATGGCAATGATGGTGATGATGGTGGTGTCGATGGTGATGATGACAATAGTGACGATGATGATAGTGATGATGGTGGTGATGGTGATGATGATAATAGTGACGATGATGATAGTCATGATGATGATGGTGATGATGGTGGTGGTGATGGCAATGATGGTGATGGTGGTGATGATGGTGATGATGATAATAATGATGATGATGATAGTGATGATGGTGGTGATGATGATGATGATGATGATGATAACAGTGATGATGATGATGATAGTGTTGGTAATGATAGTGGTGGTGATGGTGATGATGAAGTTGATGATGATGATGATGATGATAGTTATGATGGTGGTGGTGATGGTGATGATGGCGGTGATGATGATGATGATGATGATGATGATGATGTGATGATGATGATGGTGATGATGGTGGTGGTGATGGCAATGATGGTGATGATGATAATAATGATGATGATGATAGTGATGATGGTGGTGATGATGATGATGATGATGATAATAGTGATGATGATGATAGTGATGGTAAT